ACTAACACACTTATTCGTGAGGCAGTTACTTATACCGCCCCACTCCCTTCTCGCTATAGCGTCCGCAGGCCGAGAAACACTCTCTCGGACCCGCCAAATAAGTTGTCAAACGACCTGAACTGCCTCCTGGCGGCTCAGGCCAATCCTAATTAAATTAAAAATTAGTTAAAATTAATAATATGCCTTCGTAGGCAGTCCCTAAACGGCACTTAGCCGTCTGCGCCCTCTTTTCCCAAAAGAGGGTCGCTTTAGATACGGCATATGCAGCTTTAATAGAGCTAGTTGCCAGTCCCCAAAGGCGGTTTTTAGTGGGTATCACTTAGGTCCCCCGGTAGGCAGTGAGTCCCACATAACCAGGACAGACCGGCTGTCGTGGTATGCATAATGCATTTTCCGCCTCCCTCAGTGGTAGCCCTTTTCCAATTGCTTCGGGCGCAAAAAAAAAAAAAAAAAAAAGTCGTTCGACACAGTCGGCGGCCAGCTACCTCAAGGAAAACACCAAATATAGAAGAAAGAAAAATATCGCAGCGGTTTTATTCTCCACCAATCCAGCACACAAATGTGCCTGTAGGGCACAATATGTGTCTATATTTAATTTAAAATTATGTTCATTTTATATTAACGGCGCATCGGTAATTTACAACTTTATTTAATAAATTACTGAATTTAATAAACACAAGAGCACTTACGTAACAGTCAATATAATTTAAAAGCTTTCTCGATGAAAAGGATACCAGAAAACTATTAATTTCTAGAAAAGCTAATCAAAAGAATATCACAACTAATTACTCTGCAAACATCGTTGTTCAATATATTTCATTGAAATGCTTTATTTAATTATTATTGTACTAAATCTAAAAATAACTAATGATGTTAATAATTTTTTAATTGTACTTTATTTGAATCATACAAAATTATATTTTTATGAACTATTATTTTGAAATCGACTAACAGTCAATTACGAAAATAATCGATTATCAACATCACTAAATAAAACAATTAGAAAATATTTGTTTGGATATAGAGCTGAGTCAATCTAATCTTATTATTATATCATATAATTGTAGCTGCGTCTGTTATCAATCGTGTAATTTTTGAATGACTACCGATTGATGTCATATTTCATTTAATATTGTATATGATACTATCCGATAGAAACCTCTTTATTAAAGTTATAATAATGATAATAATAATGGCGTAGGGAAGTGACGACCCCATCGCCCGCTGACGTAACAGTTAAGTGACAAAACTGCTATATCAGCGCAGTCAGTCAGCACCTTGCCAAGCGGTGTTAGCGCCGTGCCTCGGCAAAATTGAGGATGCAATTTTTGGTTGGACGTTGGACGGGACAGCATGCGGTCCGCCAGCCGAGCGCGAGGTGCTGCATGACCACCTAGCAGACTCTCGCATCCATTATCCCCACCAGATGGCTTGGTGTCGGCAGGGTCCTCTCGAATCCGGCAAGCGGCACCCGCCTCTGGTGGAGAACGCCGCATGCGTTGGAATAAAACGATGAACACAAACGCATTGCGGGCGTTCTATAGGGCGAAAGGGGAAGAAACTGGAAGGAAAGCGTATCGGGCTTGGATGCATCGCTTTTTTGCTGAGCTGGAGCCGTCTGTTCCCGTCACATAGCAAAATCTGACAGACGGAGTTCACATATAAATGTCGTCAAAGGTGGCAACTAAGATGGAATGCCACGTTTGCAGTAAAAAGGGTCTCCGGTTCTCTACACTCACCATACGAAACACAGCAGCGTTAAGCTGCTATTTTAGGCTGGTATTCTGTAAGAGCGTGGCCCTTGCCCGGTCGAGCCGACCAGTTCGTGCTACAACTATACTACTAATATAGCTACAGCGTGCCTCTACCACGTAAAATAATTCATTAGTTGCGTATTTCGAAGTACAATAAAGTATAAATAACTAAATAAAAATAAATATTAAAAAGGGAATAATAAAAAACATGTATTATGGACAATAAGATTCTGTTTATTCTGTACAATATATTTAATAATTACAGTTTTAAAACATTACACATTATACGAGTATCACACAAGATGTTGCTCGAAATTTCTTATCCACTATTTAGACAAAAGAGAACTCAAGTGTATGACAAAGTATTCCTTTTTAAAAATTATGTATGTACAAAAAATTGTGTTAAGTATAATCTATATCTATACATATAAATAAAATTGAAGTGTCTGTATTTAATATTGAAATAATCGGTTCAGGGTGTTATTTGCATGCTATTATGACATAGATAATAATTTTAAAAATTTTGTTTATCTGTCTGTCTGTCAAGGCTAATCTTCGGAATAGCTGAACCAATTTTGACGAAACTTTATAAATAGATAGAGAGTGCCAGGAGGGATCTAATGTATATTTTATTCAAAAAACACAAAGATTGTCTGACAAAAAAAAATTAAGAAAGACAATTAATAGAATCATGCGTTACTTTGCGGCAAACCATAATGTTAGTCGAAAAAATATGGCTAAAATTCGGATATTGGCAAAGTAAATTTTTTTAACTTCAACAAAGGAAAATTTATACAATAAATGGCCTTTGACTATATTAAATCTAAACAACACATTAATATATACCGTGTAGTGGCGGTGTAAAAATATCCACTACCCCATATCATCCCGTGGGTGTCACAAGACGCGACAGAGAGTAGCATTACCTAAAAACGACGGAAATTAAAAAACTGCGGTTGCCAACCCGCTTGCCAAGCGTGGCAACTATGGCAAATATTCCCCTATAAGGCAATCAACAAGGGATTCCTATGTTCAGCAGTGGACTTTAATTGCAGTGGATTCTTAAACGAGGATAGATGTAAATCTCTATGGGCCACAGTATCAACTTACCATGTTACCTGTCACACTTATTCTATAAACGAAAACTTAATCATGTTCGTAAAATGTTAACAAGGTATATTTGATGACAATAGTAAATGATAATCTCCTGACCCATTTTGGTAGTGGTTAAAACTTGCCCTACTTTCAAAGTAACATAATATTATACTTAAAGAAACATATTGCTCTACACAATGCACAATGTTCTATATTTTTCAGATATAACAAATTCGAAAGTTAAATGTAGGAATCGCAACGTAATGCTTCACTGGGGTATTGCAGGACACGAAGTCGTACTGTAAACCAGTTTGTGCCACTCGCACGGCATCTTACGTAAGCGAAATCAACGCGAACGTGACGCGACGTAAGACTACGCGAATATTGAATTATTCGTCTCAAAGTGGTACGTGGCCAATCTGTCCTACGTTACGTTTCACTTCCGCAAGTACCATAGACTGACGGCAGTGATTTGAATGGCATACTCGAGTTTTAGATATAATGATATTTTTGACCGTATATTGGCGATATAAGAATATCTACTGCCCCATATTGTCTCGTGGGTATCGTAAAAGGCAACGGTGGGAAAACCGAGAGATTGAGCAATAGAGTCTTCCTAATAACAACTAAACAAAAATAAACTGCGGCTGCCAACCTTACCTGCCAAGCGTGGTATCTATGACAAAAATTGCCCCTTTGAGGTAAATTATAAGGGAATGCTTATGTTCAGCTGTGGGCTTTTAATAGGATGTGATGGTAATGGTGATATATTTAAAGTACTGTTAATATTATTTAAATATTTACCATGATTTAGTTTCCACTGGATGTTTTATTTCTTTTAATTTATAGTTAAAAAATAAGTAAGAAACTGTGGAGTATTTTTGACGCTTCTTTTTCGAACAGAAGAACATCATTTGGAAAGAAATTTTAATAAATAACATCGAAGAAATAAAGATAGGTATACCACGTTCAAATACCTATGACCAACTTATCTTCGCACTACACTTTTTGTATACTTGGTCACATACGAAAATGCAAGTATCTGCAACTGTTTGTTATATTCGCGTCGCTCCGTGCAGTATCGCGTTCACATGGAGACCGTTTGCATGAGACAACGTATTACACCGTTTCATAAGTCGTAATAATATCATAGTCACAGTAAAGAGACTCAATTTAGAGATCGCTCCGTTACAGCTTATTAATAGTCCACCGCTGAACATTGGCCCCCCAATAAGATTGCTTCAAAGGGGAATATTTGCCAAGCTTGGCAGACGGGCTAGCAGATGCAGTTTTTTAAAAACTTTTAGTTTTTATTTAGAAAACGTTTCTGCCCATCTCTTACGACAGTCACGGGATGTGATGGAGTAGTGAATATTCTAACACCGCCATTACACGGTTAGAGACCGGTCGGCCAACCAGCTCATCACACTCTGATCGCTAAAGCATATGTTTATAATGACATTAATAATATTTTGTTATTATTACGACATTGAACTCAATATTAAGTACTATTAATAAGTCACGTATACTTTTACAGTATTACTTTAGTAGTACAGAATAACATTCAATTCATGTGAAATTTATTTACAATCTTGGCACATAGAAACAAATAATTTATGGTAAAACAGTTATCACATTTACTTAATCTGTTTACGATTTACTTACATTTTAAAATTTAAATCGTATTTGGTATGAAGATATTTTGACAAGGTGATATAAAGGGACGTATTTAATCTCATTAAAATGTATGAAAGAGAGATAAGATTCTTTGTAGCCTAACTGTATTTACAAATAAATAAAATTTTACATTTACAAAAATCTTTCAAACATTTATGAAGAACACTGATTACAGAGCACTGATCCACTGATTTCGTGCTCAGTGCAAAGGATGATTGTGCAATAAGAATAAGTGACAAGTAGAATTTACGAATTTTTTCCCTTCTAACAAGTAAATAGAAAAGAAAGACGAAAAACAATACATTTTCATTTTCAACAAGTCTTATTGTACGATACAAAACATTGTCAAAACACAACATATTCATTAATTCTATGTATTTTTTAAATTTTTTATAATATCACTTTCCCTGTCCTTCATAGCTTGAGCTAATAATATTAAACGTCTTAATATATTACCTTCTATGTAGTCCTAATTCATTTCACTAACAAAGGCACTTGTCTCCCGAATAACAGCGATAATGTCCATACAAGCATTTCCCATTGAAATCTTATAGAGGTGCTCTCAGCCACAGCATCTGCGAAATTAAGAGATTAATAGAAAACAAAAATTTATTTATGTGTTTATTACATAATCTATATATATATATATATATATATATATATATATATACAAGAGATTTCAACCTCTGTACTGACTCATCAGGATATCTCTGGAACCATAAGGCTGAGTAGAGGTTAGCTAGGAGAAAAGGGGTTGCGGGGGCGTTCATTAAAAAATATTATTATTATGGGGTATCTATAAAGTTTTCTCATCTAGTTGGCTCAATATATAATTGTAAATGAAAATAATAAACGTACATAAATATCAGCAACATAAAAAAATACATAAATTACGTAAATAAATAAAAACCGTACCAGATGCAAGACCTCGGCAGGTGAGATCAAACTACCGAGGGTTAGGGGGAAAGGGAAAGAAACCGGCGGACGACGCGGACGGTATCGAGGAGCACCGCCTACCGCATTTGAGCGTGGAGCGGTCTGTCACGGTGTCCCAGTCGCCTCAGATAACCCGAGAGCCTGACTGGGATTAACCCATTCGCAGAAACGACTACAGGTATAATTTCGGTCAACAGTCCACCCTACATGTCGATCACCTCGTGAGCCAAGTCCAGATATTTTGTTCGCTTATTTGTTTCGGTTTCGGTTCTCGTCATAAGGAATGGTAATGTCGACCAAAAATATCCTTGACTGTGCCCGGTCCATCAGCACAATATCAGGCTTATTCGCAAGATTAGTCCTGTCTGTGATGATGGCCCTGTACCAGTAGAGCCTGGCGCAGTCATTTTCGAGCACGGCTTCCGGCAAGTAATTTTAACTATTATTACATATGATTTACTGAGTGAAAGTGTGAGAGTGATATCGAAAGAAGAGTGAATGCAGAAAGTGTTGGAAGGGGTAGACCTAGGCGGACATTTCTAGACCAAATCAGGGACGTCTTGAAAAAAGGCCAGGTCAAGAGTACCGTTAAACCGTAGAGCATGTATGAAGGGAATAATGAAAGTGGACGAAGCAAAACAAATATGTAAGGATCGTAGCAAGTGGAAAAAAGTTGTCTCTGCCTACCCCTACGGGAAAGAGGCGTGATTATATGTATGTATGTATGTATTTTCTGAGTGTTGTAAGAGGTGACAGAAGAGTACTGAAACAAGAGATGGGCTGTAAAATATTCCTGAGAACAGAACAGAACAATAATAGAATCAGCTAATCGTGACAAATATGGAAAATATCCCGCCGATCAGTCTATATGTAGGCTATAGTGATAATGTGTTGATGTAATTTTTTTTAACATAACCCGCGTGGCTTTGTTCACATAGATTCGAGTAATGGTATAGTTATGAGTTACCCATGGCCTAGGTGGGCTATGACAGGTCTGTAACTAATACTCAGAATATATTATCTTCGTTTTTATTAAATTCTGAAAAAAATACATAGTGTCATAAAATAGAACAACATAGTAACAGTTACTGTAACCTCATTCTTACACTAATGTTGGAAGAAATGTAGTTCGCGTACTTACTATTCTTACTAAACATATAGGAGGATATGTGCGGACGACTGGCTACGTATAGGCGAACAGACATGCTGCGGATATGCGGCGGTTGGGTCGGCAGCGTGGCTCTGCAACGCAGCGACAGGTAGCCGCGGTGCGTTATGTAGTCATCCGGGAACACGTGCAGGGTCCGCCATGATGCTCGTAAGCCATCTCCGTCCGCGCCCGACACGTGCGTCTCGCCAGTTATCATAGGATCCTAGTGATGAAACGGGGATTGAGATATTGAATCGATTATAATTTATTGTTTTTAGAAGACGATTTTTAGAATTTTACGGTTTTTTAGAATAAAGGTGACACACGTACACACAACCCACCTGATGGTAAGTAGATACTGTGGCAAATAGCCATTTACAGCTATTCCCGATTATGAATCAAAATGCACATTCATGGTCACCCCTGAGAACTAAGATTTTCCAGTAAAAATGGTCTCCGATTCTCATGACTCAACATACGAAACACAGCAGCACTATGCTGGTATTCTGTGAAATCGTGATCTTTCTCCGTTTGAACCAATCCATTCATGCTACAACCATACTATAGCTACAGCATTTCGAAATTCCCAAAAAATATAACTGCTAGGGGCAAACTGAGCAACAATACCAAGGCGACCCCTGCCACGCTATCCGTGAATTTCTGCAACATCAGGGGACTTCACTCTAACCGTCCACCACTATCTCGAGACGGCGAAGCCGGCCTTGCTCTTTCTGACCGAGACGCAGATTTCCTCTCCGGCTGATATTACGTATCTCTCCTACCCGGGGTACAAATTGGAGCACTCCTTTGTGCCTCGGGCTGGAGTTTGCGTGTATGTTAGAGAGGACATCTGTTCTCGACGCCTCGGCAGTCTTGAAGGTTCGTACCTGTCCATCCTTTGGTTACGCGTAGACAGCGCCGACAATCCGCGCGTCTACGGGTGCCTCTATAGGTCCCATAGCGGCAATGCCGAAACAGACCCACTCATCGACCACGTCCAAATGGCTACAGATTCCATGCTACAACAGGTCCCATCCGCAGAGATCGTGATCCTTGGTGATTTTAACGCCCACCACGCCGAATGGCTCGGTTCACGTTTAACCGATCATGCGGAGAGATCTGTTTATGACTTTGCCTTGGCATATGGTCTGACAAAACTGGTTACTTCGCCTTCGCGGATTCCAGATGTGGAGGATCATACACCTTCCCTGTTGGACCTTCTGCTGACCTCTCATCCGGCATGGCGATACCGTATCCTTTCTAGTCCAGAAGCTTGAAAACGTCTTCCAAAACAGCGGTGAAGAGTTTCGAGAGTTATGACGTCACCCTGTCTTACACCTCTCTGCAATTGCATAGGTTTCGTACTCTCGTTCTGTACTCGGATAGCCATCGTAGCCCTACTGTACAAGCACCTCAACATTTCGATATACTGACAGTAAACTTGGCATCACTGAAGGGACTGCAGCACCGCCCAAATTTTGACGGAATCAAAGGCTTTCTCATAGTCCACATACGCCAGACATAGTGGCAAATTGTACTCCTCGGACTTCTGAACAATTTGCCGAAGGGTATGTATGTGGTCTATGGTGCTAAAATCTTTTCTGAAACCGGCTTGTTCAGGAGGCTGGAAGTCGTCAAGTCTGCGCGCGAGACGATTCGTAATGACTCTCGAAAAAAGCACGTAGACGCGGTTCGGAAGGGGAATTGGTCTGTAGTTCTTCAAGAGAGCGTTGTCGCCTTTCTTGAAGTACAAGACCACCGCAATTCTGCTCCACGCCTCCGGTGTAATGCCACCACGGAGGATGGAATTAAAAAGCCTCTGAAGGACTTCCAGTACCGGTTTTCCACCCGCTTTCAGAAGCTACGCTGTAATTCCATCCTCGCCTGAGGCCTTGCTGTTTTTAAGGTTCTGGAGAGCCATTCTAATCTCGCTCAGACTGATGTCCGGGATATCATCGGAATAATGTCGGACAAGACTCGCTCTTGAATCGTTACTCACACTTGCCTGTGGCTCCAACGATGATGTGTACAGCTGCCTATAGAACCTCTCAATCTTACTCAAAATCTAAGGTGTCGCGGAAATGACGCTACCACACTCGGGCTTCAGCTTTGACAGTTGGCTCTTTCTGGCAGACAGATCTCTAGCAAAGACTTTGGAGCCCTGGTTCCGCTCGATCGCCTCTTCAACTTTTTTAAACTGAACTTTATTTATGGGTATATTAGCACAGTTTTCATGCTTAGCGAGCGTGTTGGTAACCACAGTTTTTTTTATTGTTGTGTTTGCTGTTATCAGAAAGTTGCTGCTGCCTATCTTCTGCCTTAGTTTCCCTCTGTAGCCTCTTACGGCACCCAAGGGAAGATATGGGGTAGTGAGTATTCTTTCCCGCCACTGCACGGGGGTAATAAAGTTTAATTTCAACGCCATTACACGGGGGTAATAAAGTTTAATTTCAACGCCACTACACGGGGGTAATAAAGTTTAATTTCAACGCCATTACACGGGGGTAATAAAGTTTAATTTCAACGCCACTACACGGGGGTAATAAAGTTAAATTTTAGGTAGTGTAATAAAGTTTAATTTTAACGATCGCAGGGCAACAGATAAGTGAGCATTGCCTTCGTTAAAAATAATCAAAGTGACATATCAAAGGGTTTGGAAAAGGGACATGAGTGTTATTTACAAACTTGTTAGCTGCGTACAAAATATTTAATTTTCTTTGTTGAACCTTGTATCGTTACGTTTGTGGGGCATTTTATTGTAATGTAGCATTCTTATCGACGCTTAAGCAAAAATTTGATTACACAAAATAAAATCGTTGACTGTAATTGAAAACACAGACGTTTGCCCTTAATCTTTTTTATATAATAAGGGTGACACGGGAGCACAAAGTCCACTTGATTGATAATACTGTGGCCTGCAGACATCTACATCTATACTCGATTAAGAATAAAATAAAATTACACGTTCGCTTTCATCACTGAGAACTGAGATGGAATGTCTCATTTCAAGTAAAATGGGGCTCTGGTTCGGTACACTCACTATTGATGCTACTTCAAATTGGTATTCTGTAAGAGTTCTTCCCCAGTAGTGCCAACCCATGCGTTCTACAAACGCAATATGGCTGCAGCGTGGCTCTTCCACGTATATAAATCTTTCTTAATTTCATTGAAACTAATCATCTGATGATGATATTAGCATGGGCAGTTTAATATTTATTTACGTAACAAAATGATTTATATTATTTAAAACAATAAAAGAAACATGCGACAAATCCTACTCCCCACTTTATAGTGCCTCAAGAACGCTGGCTACGTTTCCCTGCTGAATAGCTATTTGGTCTTTGAGCAAGAAAAGAACCAGTACCCTTGTCTCCAGCAACGATCACTTGCGACTGGTCGTATAAAGTTCATTTTTCAGAACAACAAATAAAGATGGACATAACAGCACGTATATTTCAAATTACACCGAAATCATGCTCCACATCTTGATACGAACTCACTCAATCACACATCTTTCTTCTTTATGACTTTGACCGCCCGCAAACCCACTGGTGGGCGCACACAAATATACCCTAAATAGTGTTGTTAGTTGCAACCCTATGGTAACCGTAAGTGCGTGTTCTTACAATAACCTCGAATATCGTTGTTTTCAGATTTATTCCCATATCTAGTAATCACCTATATGTCAAAATCCAAGTTTGTAAGTCACTTAAAATTATTCTAGAATTTTCATGAGTGTGTCAGTGTGGATGAAAATTTAAATTTTCAGACTTTGGTAATTCTATAACTAAAATAAATAGATATAATAAGATAATAGATATTTAAGAGTGGCTTATAGGAAATGCCAAATTCAAAGAATGTTAAAAAGGAAATCACCAATAACCTCCCACTTTCTAGAAGAAAGAAGACTTCTATACTAGAAGTATTTTTTATTATAAAGCCTTTTCTACTCCTTAAAAGTTTTCTGGAGTTTTCCATAGTTACCTCTTACGACACTCACGAGACTAAAAGGGGTTCTGGACTATTTACCACCACTACTAAACTAATATAACCCTTAAACATTATTTTGTGTTATTCGTTATTGCTATTGAATTTTTAACGTTGCCTCTAAAATGCTACATTATTATTTCAATATTGCTATGAAAAGTTAATGTAATACATAATTTTAGTGTATAGAAGTCTTTTGGTTTAGATAGACTATCAAAGACTAATCATACAAAATCGTGCACCCCGATTTTTATATCAAGTATAAGCTAATAATTTAAAAGGTAGAGTGATTAACTACTATCCCAACTAAGGTAAGTAGTGACGTAATCAATGATCGTAAAATGCACTGACTTACCCTAACAAAAGCCTATTACTTACTCTTGCCTTGATTAATATCGACATTTAATAATATATTTAACTTATATTTAATTTACATTAAATTAATATTTAATTTACATTTAATTAATATTTTATTTAAGTTTAATTAATATTTAATTTACATTTTTTATAGGGTAATGTTACAAACGAGCACACAGTCCACCTTATGATAAGTGGTTGCTGTAATCCATAGACATCTACATTTATCCTCAATTAAGAATCAAAATGCAGATGCGTCGTCACCCGTGAGTACTACGATAGAATGCCTGTTTTCTAGTAAAATGTGTCTCCGGTTCTCTACACTCACCATACGAAACACAGCAGCGTCAAGCTGCCATTTTGCGCTGGTATTCTGTGAGAGCGTGGCCCTTCCCCGGTCGAGCCGACCCGTTCCTGTTACACACTATAATACTAATATAGCTGCAGCATGGGTCAACCACGTATGTACGTACTTTTTGTACATTTACATTTACATAACATGTACTTTTTGTACATATAATCTAACATCTGACAGCCCTGACATTATAATACTTTTCCAGCAAAGAGGTAAAAGCGGAAAAATCACTGGGATGGCTTTAATTTTTCATTTTCGCTAGATTTAATGTAACCTCAACATTTTGTTAATATACTTCTGCTCTCTCATACAATTATGTATTGATCTACGCAACTTGAAAATAAGTAAAACTTTTACCGTAGAAGGATTATATATGCATGAAATTATTTATGTTCCAAGGTGAACTTCGTGAAGTAATTACAGTAATTAAGGTAGCGTAGGCGTTACTGTGTCGAAAACGAAAACGTAACTTAGATAAAATATAACGTTTTGTTTGATTTAAATCGCCATGATTTCACTTCGTTGTAGTATAATAATACTAAAATAAGAATTGTTAAAAAATATTAGCAAAAAAGGCTACAATCTGATACAGGAAACTTACTAATAAAAAAACAGGATTGATTTTAATACGTGGTAGAGCCATGCTACAGCTATATTGTGTCAAAGAGGGAAAGGGCATGCTCTCACGGAATATCAGCGTAAAATAGCAGCTTAATGTTCTTTCTTTCAATCTTTTTACTGGAAATGAAACATTTCATCTTAGTCCCCAGGGATTACATTACATCTGAATATTGATTCTTAACCGAGGATAGATGTAGATGTCTATGAGTCACAGAATTCACATACCATCAGGTGAACTGTGTGCTCGTTTGTCACCTTATTCTATAAAAAATTTTGCACCAGGGAAATGATCACCGACTCAGCATGATGCTTTGGCGTATTAATATTTTATGTTATTTTATAATTTATTATTATAACTTGTATTTACCAAGCGTACGAAAAAAAAATCTTATAAAAATCTCACATTAATAAATTTGAGCTGAGCTCTAATTAATGGTATTCTACCATGATTTAGATACATTTTTAATTGGGTAGAACTCCCTTTCTTCGTAGGAGTCCACAATAACCACCATTTTACTTATTTATGCTTCTAAATCGCAGTAATTGCGCTGTTTGTTTCGGTCTGAATAATATAGTGCGCCATTATAATTGAAGTCTGCAAGGCATAACATCTTAATCCTCAGTGGTGAAAACCCATCCACATTTCGATTCTTAATCGAGGATGTTGTGTGGACCCCAGCATATATTTACCGTCAAGTGGCCTGTGTGCTCCTTTGCCACCCTTATATTATAAAAAAAAGAGTAAGGCGATCTAATAACAAAATTTATAAGTAAGCTTATTTGTACGTGAAGTCCCTATTATATTATGATTTCTAATCTCAAAGATAGAAGCGACGAGTCTGGTACCGGGCTGATAAGTGAGCGACGACCCTTGTTTTATCGACTAATTAGATTTAAAAAAAGTCTATTTGCTTTTATTACTAACTTTAAATTGACAATAGAACATAATTTTTTTTTATAGGATAAGGGTGACAAACGAGCACACAGTCCACCTGATGGTAAGTGGTTGCTGCGGCCCATAGACATCTACATCTATCCTCTATTACAAATCAAAATGTAGATGCGTTGAGGACTAAGATGGAATGCCTCATTTCCAGTAAAAAGGGCCTCCGGCCACCTGCACTCACCAAGCGAAACGCAGAGGTAAACCTCTACTTCACGCTGGTTTTCTGTGAGGTCGTGGTACCACCCCGGTTCGAGCCGGCCCATCCGTGTGACAGCAAAAGCTGCCGCGTGGCTCTACCACTGTTAAATATGGTACACACGATTGGTATGGTATACATCGACATATTGGGAAGGCCTATTTTCTTCAGTGAACTTTAGTAAGTCATAATAAATGAATATACGAGTAAATGATAAGTGTACACTATATCTTCGACAATTTTGCAGGCCTAATGACTGCTCGTTATTTTTTTGTCTAAGGTACCGATAGAATGACAGTACTGCATAATTTTTTCTGTAAGCATATGCTGAGTTGGTAACCGTTTCGTTGCTGCAGCTCAATATTAATAGGATTTTTTTAAATATAATTATCTCTTTGTGATGATTTTATTGTGCTGTATTGTGTTGTGGTCACAAATATTATCTCTTCTTCTTGCTTTAGAAAGTATTATTTTGTCTTTGATTTTTATCTAAATACATTTCACCGATCAGGGTAATTTATACTAAATGGTATACCACCGTCAATTAGGGCCTAAGAGGTCTTTCTGTCCTTTCCATAGTCCGTTAGTTAGATATACATAATTTTGTAAGAATGGCAGATTGTTATAAACATTATCATCAAGGCTGAAAATTTCGCTTTCAATTGACGATAAGGTAATATAATTAATAGCGCAAGGTACAAGAAACTTTCAGCTATTATAATAAAGTTCTAAATCGCAGGGCAGGCTATCTATGTTTTTTTAAAGGATAAAGTGACAAACGAGCACACAGTCCAACTGATGGTAAGTGGTTGCTGTGACTTATAGACATCTACATCTATCTTCGATTACGAATCAAAATGCAAATGCGTTGTCATCCGTGAGGACTAAGATGGAATGCCTCGTTTCCAGTAAAAAGGGTATTCGGTTCTCTATACTCACCATACGAAGCACAGCAGCATTAAGCTGCTATTTTACGCTGCTATTCTGTGACAGCGTGGTCCTTCCCCGGTCGAACCGACCCATTCGTACTACAACCATAGTATAGCTGCAGCACGGCTCTACCACGTATAAAAACATTCGTATCTTCATTGTACAGTTGCATTATTAAAATACATATCCGTCACACAATGATATATACATACCTCTTGTGGTTCCGAGTCTACGAACCAATCGATATCAGCTGCAGGTATCGAGTAGTCTGAAGTACAATTGACAAGCGCTTGTTCGCCCACTTGTACTATCGTCGGAAGTCCAGTGATGAGAGGGTCATACTCTGGTAGCACTGCAAAAATATTTCTTCCTGAGAATTCCACTAATTTTTCCGTAATATATTCGTTTTTTATTATGCATTTCTAAATTATTATTTTTTTACAATTATAATCTTGTTTTCAACTAATAAGTAGTTAGTAAAGAAGACTTTATTGTGTAGTGACTAGAACATCCATTACTTCATAGTATCGTCCCGTGTGTATCGTAAAAGGTGAAGAGGGAAATAAAACTGGAGATGGACATTAGCGTTTTTATAATAACTTCTAATAACCAAGTATAGCAAATATAGCAAATATTCCTTTTAAGAGGCTGTCCTTGGGGAGGCCTATATTCGGAAGTGGATAAAGTCCTATTTATAGGCTGTTATGAATGAATAAACACTGTAAAGTCGTTTGCGAAAATTGTGTTATAAAAAATATTTAAATATTGTCAGATTATGGAAGCTGCCAGATAGATCTTAAGTTCGCCGTGGATAGAGGTATAATAGTACGCTAGTAAACAATATGTAGCCAGGAGACGAGGCGCAGTGAAATAGATGAGAGATGTATGACAATATGATCAAAAATATTGGAAGAATATTGAAGTAAATAGAAATAATTAGTAGAAACTAATAGTGGCCAAATAAAATGTGTGATTGTTATTTAAACAAGTTACAGTCCCTATTAGTCCAACGCTGAACATAGACCTCTTCCAAAGACGCCACAAAACACGACAAGTCACTCCATCTAGTGGAAGGTCGCCTAACACTTAGCTTACCGGTACGAGGCTGATATTTTACAACCTTTCTACCCCATTGGTTGTCGACCTACATGACACACATATTCCGACACACACACGGTACGGTAACTCTGGTTAATGTGGATGTCTTCCTTACACATTCTATCACACAAAGAAACTCAGAGCACAACCCCCTCCATAGCTAGTTGAAAGGTTCGTACGTATAAACTTTTTATAGACTAAGGGTGACAAGCGCGCACGCAGTACACCTGGTGGTAAGTGAATGCTTTGGTCCATAAACATTTACGATTATCCTTAACTAAGAACCAAAAGACAAATTTCTAAATAAACACCTGAGGACTAAGATCGAATGCGAGGCATTTCCAGTAAAATGGGTCTTCGGTTCTTTGCATCACCATAAAAAACAGAGCAGCATTAAGCTCATATTTTACGCTAATATTATGTTAGAGCGTGTTTTTTCCCCGGTTGAGCCGGCCCATTTGTGCTACAACCATAATATATCTACAGCGTGGCTTTACTACGTATAAAATTACTCGTTATATAGTCGAATATGATCATGAGATTGAAATTATTTGCTTATTTGTTAACCTGCTAAAGTCATGTTCGCCGATCGTTTATCCACAGCAAATCTGGGTCCTTCGCTGGACACTTCGCACGTATACTTTGCCGTGCCTCGCTCGGGACGCACTGTTATATCACAAGCGCTCAAATTGCAGGAACTATTAGTGACGGAGATCCCAGTACTGTTAAACGCTCGCGTTTCGTACTGAAAAATATGCGAAATTATTATCTCTTGAAACTTCTTGTTGAAGGTGCTTAAAGTTAGTGAATGAATTATAAAAGTTTTACCTCTTGAGGAGTGTACCGAAATATCTCGTGTGTGTCACGATACCACTTGACAGAGTGGAGGGCTGGATCGTGAGGTTGCCTCATATAGTGACAACGCAACTCCGCCTCTTTCCTTGGATCAGCCCAAAGTGGTACTTCAAGAAGTGTGATAGTATGCGACACACTTCGAACTGAAACAAAAATAAATTGCTTAATAATGTCCTCTAGACGGAATTTCGGTCACTGCGGCCATTCTGAACGGAGACTAGGCTTCTGCGCACAACAAGATTATAGTGCCCAAATTTATGCACAAGCACAGGTGCACTCACTATTCCCTAACACTCAAAGTCCGATGGGATGGTCACCCGACGCGACCGGAGAGAAATAAGTTGCAGAAACACCATCGACTTCGTGATTCCGGGCTGCTACTGAGAATTTCGTGACAGAAAAAACAATGTCTAATTTCCACTCCCCCTCCCTTCCACCAACGGACAGCTAGACGCTCGGTCAGTTTAGAACTTCTTTGTTGTCGACATACCACGCATTTGAATTAAACAATTTGCTTCGTCATTCGTGATGCGTGTCTTGTATGTCTGTCTTTGTACCCGATTACATTACGAGTGCTTTAAAGATTACATTCAAGAAAGTTACTTCGGCGTCATTATTACTTACCATCAGGTGGGATAGTAGTAAAACACTGGCTTATAATATTGAAAAAAAAACAATACACAAAACATCTACACAAAACAAAGATTCGGCTTTGTTTCGTTACGGACTCTTGTTGGATATGAATGTTTTTTTTTTGCGTCCAACGTAAGTTGGCGCCAAACAAACAAACATCTGCCCTCTTTAAAGAGAGTGTTTGTTTGTGACTATTGATAATTCTAGTCATTTTAAACAGTTTTTAGCACCTACCGACTTGTATTTATCTAATTCTCCCAGGGTTGACTGGTAGAGAATGCCATAAGGTAAATAGATTAAGGTGTTATACGATAAAGATTAAATACACAAATAATTTACGTTATCGTGTTGTTAATAATTTACCATAGTCATCATGTTAAATCAACCTGCCATCAAAAATCAAAAAAGTCCGTATGTCGCCGATATTTAAAAAAAAGACAATAATGTCGCCAAAATAGATGATTCAATCTATAAATCGCAATAATTTAAATGTAGATAAGGATTATTCTAAATTCAACCAGTTCCATATTCATCAAAAATTATAGTTTCAGTCTTAAAAAGTAAATTATAAATAATAATATTTTATTGAATTTTGTAGGATATGCGGGAAAATACTCAGAAAGAATGATAAAGACAAATTGCAATTGTACTGAATTTTTTGTGAAAATTTTATAATTTTAATACAATTCGGAGCACAATGACACGGCCTCTTTATTCTTACACGCGATCACAAAATTCTATAGGCCACCGGAACGACAGAGTACAAGTAAAACAAAAAAAAATGAACACACAATAAAATATACATTACCAAGGGTTGATTTGTACTCAAAAAATATGCTTTATGTAGCTGTGGTACCTAAGGGGCTAAGTGTTTGGCGTACTTTCATAGTACGTGAGAAACTCAGATTCGATTCCCGCAGGTACCAATGAAATTGTTAATTGCAATCCTACCAAAAACATAAATGTGAAAAGGGGGCCAAGTTTGGTTCTAACTGCGTACAGGTTGTCGATTTCCCCAATAAAAGAGCTGAGATCAGACCCAATCTTCATAGCTATTGATGCGAAAATAGCTTGCGAGTACAGTTTACTCGTACTAGTCGGCTCGACAGAGAAAGGATTTATTATCATTTATTCTGAATATCAATGATATGTTGCAAACCGGTAACATTCATTGCTATGAGAACGATAGCACTGGTGATGTTTATGCACTGGCTGTGCCAATATTTCTCAGGAAAACGTCGATGAGTAGCGGAATAAGCTTTTTGTTTAACAAAGTCTTGGGTTGGGAGTGACTACATCTAGTCTAGTTCGATCCCCAAACACCACCAGTAATTTTCTGGACCAATATGGCTTACGAAACTTCAAGAAAAGAGCAAACTCTTTTTTAAATAGGCCAGCGACAAATCTGCTATTCCCCTGGTGTTGCAGTTGGCCGTATGCTCGTTTGCCTTTCTCATATAAAAAAATAAACATGCTCTCACAGAATAATTCGTAAGATATATACGAGTATCCCCGTGTAGAGGCAGGTGAGAATAACCACTATCCCAAATATTCCCGTGAGTTTCGTAAGAGGTGATAGAGGGAAACTGAGGCGGAATATGGTCAGAAGTATCATTCTGATTTCAAAAATTTCGAAAATCAACATAAAACTGCGGTTACAAACCAGCTGCCCAAACGTGGCAAATATGGCAATATACCTCCCATGAGCAACGACACATGTAAACTGCGCCCAGTCCCCGGTGGCCCCGCTACTCCAGGCTACGGTGGCGACCATGGTAACAGCGGGTTATGGGGTGCTAAGAATCTCCGTTGGTGGTTCGGTTGCCAACTAAGACGACTCGACCAGGCAACAACGCACGTGTATAACACATATACCCTCTGAACTGGCGAGAAGACCTTGGAGCTGGAAGAAGAAATAGACAAGTTGCGCTGGAATATTATAGGATTATCCGAGGTCCGATGAGAGAGGAAGGACACGGTAATCCTCGAATCCGGCAACTTGTTCTATCACCGGGAGGGCGACTATCTGTCCCAAGGAGGTGTCGGATTTATCGTCCACAAGTCTCTCGTTAACAACGTTGTAAATATTGGGAGTGTGTCGACGAGGGTTGCGTATCTTTTACTCAGAATCACCAAACGGTATTCGCTGAATGTCATACAAGTCTACGCACCACCTTCGTACATCCCGATGAGGTGGAGAAAATGTTTGCGGATATCTCTAGTACCATGTATTACTCCAATATCCACTATAAGATGTTAATGAGACGAGTTAAGGAGGTGAGACTTCAACGCAAAACTAGGCACAGGAGAGTACGGTGATCTGAAAATAGTGAAATTTGTAATAGGGCAACGGAACCCAAGGGACCAGCAGCTGGTAGATTTTATGGAGAAAGAGGGATTCTTAACGATCAACTCTTTCTTCCAAAAGCGGTCCCCAAAGAAAGTGGACCAGGTCGAGCCCCGAAGATTTGACAAAAAATGAGATTAACTTCATTATGATGACCAGACGACCACTGTTAAGTAATGTCTCAGTGATCGCGAGAATGAAAAGGAGCAGCGATTATCAAATGGTAATAAAAACACTGAACCTAAACGTTAAGTTGGAGAGGTGCTTTCTAATGAAGTCAACGCTCTGTCCCCCTCGTGCTCTACTCCAAAGTCCCGATACGTTTAAGCTCGAGTTAAAAAACAGTTTGATATAAATGAAAAGCTCGTGAAAACTGTTCACGCGGTCGGAGCTAAGTTCTGTTGTCTTACCCTTCGCAGAAGAATACAAAAACTCTCCGATCATACTCTTAATCTCATGAATGTTAGACGGGAAATGAAGCTGCAGTCTTTAGCAGATTTGACTGCATACAGGCAATTGAATATACAGATCTCCAAATGCATGCAAAGGGACTTGCGCAACTTCAGTATAGCTTGTATTAAGGAAGCGGTCGAGCTGAACCAGGGCTCCAAAGTCTTTGCCAGAAATCTGTCTGCCAGAAAGAGCTAACTGTCTAAACTGAAGACCGAATATGGCAGCACTACTTCTGGGATACCTGAGATTTTAAGTAAGATTGAGAGGGTCTATGAGCAGCTGTACACGTTATCGTTGGAGCCACACGCAAGTGTGAGTAACGATCCAAGAGCAAGTTTTATCCGACATTATTCCGATGATATCCCGGACGTCAGTCTCAGCGAGATTATGTGAGGATGGAATTAAAGTGTAGCTCCTGAAAGCAGGTGGAATAGCGGTACCTAAGGCCCTTCATAAGATCTTTAATTCCGTTCTCCATGGTGGCACTACTCCGGAGGCGTGAAGCAGAAATGCGGTGGTCTTGTTCTTCAAGAAAGCTGACAATGCTCTCTTGAAGAACTACTGACCGATTTCCCTTGTGGGTCGCGTCTAAGCGCTGTTTTAGAGAGTCATTACGAATCGTCTTGCATGCAGACTCGACGACTTTCAGCCTGTCAAATCAGCCGGTTTCCAAAAAAGGCTTTAGCACCATAAACCACATACGAGTATATACTCTTAAGCAAATTGTACAGAAGACCGAAGAGTACACTCTGCCACTATGTCTTGCGGGTGTGGACTATGAGAAAACTTTTAATTCCATCGAAATTCGGGCGGTGCTTCAGTCCCTTCAGCGGTGTCAAGTTGAATGACGGTATATCGAAGTGCTGAAGTGTTTGTACGCTAGCGATCCAAGAACAGAACCAGAGTACGAAACCTATGCCCAACTGCAGACAGCTGTAAGACAGGGTGACGTTATATCCCCTAAACACTTCACTGCTACAAGACGTTTTCAAGATACTGGACTGGAAAGGATACGGTATCAACATCAATTTGGTTTGCCGACGATATAGTTCTTATGGCAGGCAGGTCATGTGTAGCGTCCATGACACACCTATGCCGGTATTTGTTCGCTCAAAGTTGTTGACGAGTATGTTTACCTGAGACAAATAGTCAGACTACGTAAGTCCAACTTCGACTGAGAGGTCAATCGACGGAATCAACTCTGCTGAGCTGCTTTCTGGAAATTACGACACATCTTCTCGTCAGGTATACCTCAAAACTTAAAAACGAGAGAGTACAACCAGTGCGTGTTGCCAGTGATGATTTATGGATCTGAGACGTATTCTTTCACTGCTGGCCGTATGAGGAAGCTCAAACTTACTGAACCAGCTATGGAGAGGGCTATTCTCGGGACTTTTCTGTGTGATAAAATTAGAAATGAGTATATCCGCAGCAGAACCAAAGTAGCCGACATATTCCAACAGATTAGTTAGCTGAAGTGGCAAGAGGCCAGCCGTATAGCTCGAAGAACCGCCAACCATTTGGGGAAAAAGGTTTTCTAGTGGCAGCCTCTTACCGGTAGGCGAAATATATGGCGACTCTCCATTACAAAGAGCAATTACCTGGTAAGGCACGCAGGAAGCTGATGGATGCAGTTGGCTCAGGAGCTTGCTTTGTGGCATTCCTTGGTGGAGGTTTATGTTCAGCAGTTGACTTGTGAAGGGCTAAAATGTATGTCTTTATTACTTAATGTTCATATAAA